TTATGCTCTTCTCTAATCTTCTTAATTTCCTCTGTTGCGTGTTCTGCTGCTTAATTTCCTACCTATTTCTTGAAGAGTTCTGTTTATTAAGCTTTTGTATTCTGCCTCTGGTAATTCCAAGAAATTTTCTTCCTCCGGAAAATTTCTTGATTCTTCATTTTGGAAGCTTGCCGAAGCCATCATGGATTGCCTCTTTATGTGATTTAATACTGACTGTTGTCTCCAAGCCATCAATAAGTTATTATACTTATTTATTTTCTGTTTGCTTACTGTGTCCTAGCTTCTTGTTTTGTTCTAATATGTCCAAATAGGCTGCTCGTATGAGGTAGTTTGATTATTGGCACCTTTGAAGCTCTAATGTCCTGTCACCAGGTGTTTAGATCTGTTACTAGAAATGTGAGCTCAGGAGTCCACCCACTCCTCCTGTATGGATTCAGCTCAGGTGCCCAGGTAGATAGCCACGAAGTGTGTGGTATAGGCTCTCACTTATACTCCTAGACAGGCATGGGTAATTGGTGTAGGCACAGACATCTGGCTGTAGCAGGGAGACACACTCTGAGCAAGGCAGGGGGCTAACGGCCACCCCCGAGTGTCCAGGAGGAAAGGGTGTCCTTGTTCCCTAGAGTGCATAGGTGGATGTGTTTTGCAGCCAGACTATGAGCACCTAATGCTGTTGGCTGTGAGGACTGGGGCACCTCTTATTCATGGGCCCCTATTGCAGTTGGCTAGGTGGTGTGGGTGGAACCACCTGTCCTGAGGCCTCTGATGTGGGTAGGTAAAGACCTGCTTAACAGGCAGAGCAGTGTCAAATGTCAAGAACCTGCCACTGCACAGCTGAAACAGTTGAAGTTAGAGTTTCAGTATATACCCTGTTGTACTGTGGTAATGATGGCCTACGCTGTTGAGATGGGCCTACGCTATTGAGATGGGCCATGGCTGTTGAGATGGGCCCACACAAGTCTCTGCAGGGGGAAAGGCACTCAAAGTCCATGGATCCCTTATGCCTGTGCCTAGGCTAAGGAGCTGCACCTACCCTGGGTTCCTGGCTCGGGGTAGCCAGCAGTTTATTTTTTCCCATTTGTTAATTTGTTCACTCTCCAAGGCAGGGAGAATGGCTCTGGGCGTGTGTTGGATCCTACTTCCAGCCCAGGGGACTCGGCAGTTGCTGAAGGTGGTCCGGGACCCAGTGCAGAGCAGGGAGCGGGGAGATAAACGGGAGAGAGGTTTTTCCCTAAGGAAGGTGTTTTTGATCTGCGTGGTAGGCCATACGCAAGTATTTATCTTTCGCCGATCCAGGGCTGCTTCTCACTGGTTCTGGGTGGCTGTGTAGACTCTCTGGCATTGGGTCTCTCCTGGTGCGGAGTACCACTGCTTTCCTACCTCACCGCTTACCCCCAAGCTGATCAGGCCTGAAGGGCTCAGGCTCTCACTGGGTCAGGTCTGGCAACTGCTTGCTGATTCTGAACCGTCTCTCCCTCCCCCTGCTACTCAGTAGTTCATCCTTTTCATTGTTGAGTAGTATTCTATGGCATGGGTGTAGCACAGTTTGCTTATCCATTCTTTCTTAATTTTTTTTAACTGCTAAGAAAGAGATCTCATTTTATTCTGTAATTAAACTAGAAGAAATTGTAGCACCTCTTCCTTACACTTTTATGGTACGTTTTAAGCATCAGTGATGAGAACTGCTAGAGTTTAAATTGATTTTTTTTGACTTTTTAAGTTTTACGCTGGTAAAATATATATAACACAAACTTGCCACTCTAACCATTTTTAAGTGTACAATTCAGTGACATTAATTACAT